CCAAACAAGGCAACACAATATCGGGTTCATAATAATTCAAAGCATAATAAATGAAACTGTGATTCATGCATATGAAACCATAGAATAAAGACATCAGGCACCATACTGCATTCAAAACTGTAAAATAAATTAAACAATACCTGACCGAAAATTTATCAGATTCGGGCTCCATTAGCAACCTTAATCAATTATACATATCTATTAATTCATAAAATACTATTTTATCATTTATTATGCTTTAATACCGTGATAGAAAATAGGGTGAGAGATCTTTACTTGTTTCGGAGTCTGAAATCGAGTTTTCACTGCGCCTATGGGCAGTCCCTAGATTCCCTGATTTTTTTTTTAGAAACTGAAACACACTTCCGGTACCTGCACGTGTCCCCAAAAAACTCAAATCAAACCTAGGGCCCTTTCGGCCAATATCGGAATTCTGGCAAGGCGACTCCGCTATGCTCCGGTGACGGCGCCACCGCCCACAGCGGCGATCAACCTCGGGTTGGCCGTTTTCGGCCAAATTCGGCCAAACTTGCATTGGTTCCTGTGATAAAACACCCCTAGGGCCCTCGATGGGCCAAAAAATTCTAGAAAATTGAGACTTACCGGCGGCGAAGCTCTCGGGTACGGCGGCTCCTAAGGGCGCAAGTTGTGATTCGGTGTTTTTCTCTGATCAACCTGTAGAGAAAAGGACGGTGATCACAGTGGTATAAAAATTACATCGAACGGGAAACGGGAAAGGCCTCATTGGAAGAAAAAATTGAGGAAACCCACGGTGGTGCCACTGGACTTCGACGGTATTTTTCGGTCAATCGGCTGGTGGTTTGGCTCCGATTTGGCCACAGGGAGGTTCGGCATCGAAAAACAAGCCAAGGGGAGAAATTTTACCTCGTTTGGCGGCCGGAAAGTCCTCCGGTGCAGCGGCGGGTGGCGGCGGCCGGTTCCTCCGGTGGCTGGGTCATCTTCTCCTGCGAGGGTTCTGGCGGCTAAGGTTTGGGGTTGGGTGTAGATGCAATTATTTATAACCCTCTCCTTTTAATCTGAGCCGTCCATCATGATTTAATCTGGACTGTCCGATCGCGATTAAATTGAGAATAAATCTGGACTGTCCATCGCGATGCGATCTGGGCCGTCTGTGCGTGATCAAATCTGGGCCGTCCACGCACGCCTTTGATTTGGATCGTCCGTGCAGGCAGGAACGAATCTGGGCTGTCCGATCGCGCACACGCGGATTGCCAACGTGTCTCCGTCCCGTGTGGCTTCCCGCGTCAACATCCCTACCACGCGGCGTGTCCTGGTTGGCCGGGGCTGTTGACCGGGCTACTGTCATGGCTGCTGACGTGGCACTATTTTTCTAAATTGCATTTTGACCTCCGATTTTCGATTTTCTTTTCAAAAACACCCCCAGAATCCAAATTTTCACCCCCTTTTTTTCAAAATCAATTTCAATTAAATCCAAAAAATAATTTTACCCTATTTTATTATTATTTTTATTTTTATTTCTTTTAAATTATATTAAATTAAATTAAAACTTTATAAATTAAAAATTAAAATAGAATAAATTAAACAAAAATTCCAATAAAAATTGAAATAAAATAAAAATAAATAACAAAATAATAAAAGAAAATTTTGGGTGTTACAGTTATCATCTTTCATCAAGCCACTTCATCTAAAAGGTTCTCACCCTTCTCATGTCTCTTCATGTTTGTTCTAGACTTTTCTACACTCTTCCAATTGTTTCGGCATCTTTATCCACCCTTTAGCTTATTGCTAACCAAATTTGAGCTGACATGGAGCCCATTAGACTCCCTTAGGCCCACCTAAGCCCATAAGGCCCATAATAGCAAGTCATTATAAGCTTCTAAACATGCCTCTCAATTTTTCTTAAATTTCTCCCAATTTTTATCCTACAAAAATTGTTTCCTTTTAAAATCTATCTTCTTTCATGTCTTAGCGTGCCTTTTACCAAAATTGGGCTTCAAATTATATGTATTTCAGTCTCAAAAAATGTTTCAATCTTAAAAGGTCATTTTCTTCCGTTATTCAAGAATTCATATATAACCTAACTTTTTGTTCTCTTTCGAATTTTGCTTTTACCATTTTTCTCATAATCTTGAAATATTTTTCATCCTCTTAAAATGTCGTTTTTGCTTTGAGAAATGTCTCTAGACCGAGAAATCTCTTAACCTAAATTTACTATTTCCTTCCCATTTGTCATTAAACGGAGTTTTTATCTTTACTACATCTTCTTAGATACATATAAATACTTAATCAACCATACCAAACACGAGAAATCAGAATGCAAAAAATTCAGGATATTACAAGTATGACTGAAATTCAACAGTGTGGTGAACCCTATCTTGGGGTGGATGAAAGTCCTTTCACACTTAGTTGGGATGTGTGTTATGTTCTGAGTCATCTGGTGAAGGACTACTTTGACCAATTTGCATGATTTATTTGTGTGTATGCTCTTGTGATAGTGAGAATCCTGATCTCACAATGATACCAAATTGGATAATAAATACATATGTCCAATCTCAAATAAAACTCTAAAATTTTAACCACTGTAATTAGATAATTGGGTCGAGGCATATCGAGAATCGAGGATAATTGTTGAGGGGTACATATGTCTCGATTTAGGATAAAAAATATGATAAAATAAAATGTGTGTATAAGTAAGAAAGTAAAGAATGTGATCTAAAGAGATAAGAAGGAAAGAAAGAATCTGATAAAAAGGGAATATAAAGGTAAATTAGTAATTAGGTAAAATGAAAGGAAAGGAAAAACTTAGGAGATTTAAATGAAGGATAATTATAAAGGGGGTGATGGTTGTCGAATCTACCAAAAATAAATTTTTATTCCAACAATAATTTAAATTACAGTAGTAGTGAATAGGGGCAAATCCACGGGGAATTGAAATCTAATATTCTTTTATGGTTAGTAATTTAAATAAAATAAAAATAAAAAACAGGGGTTTCATTTTGAATTAAAAAAAATCAATTAATTAAAATAAATCAACATAACTTAAATCAACAAATCGAATAAAATAAAAATCAATTGAACTGAAATTATAAGAAAATAATTCAGTAGGTTCAGTGAAGTAAAAATCAATTATGAATAAATTCCATACAAAGAAATAATATGAGTTTCAATTCATAAGATCGTTTATTGATGCAAAGATAATCTTACCAGTTTTCAATAAACCAGTTCTAGTTGTTGGATACGCTTCTTATAACTAATTTTTTCTTAATTTTGGATCAACTAAGAGACATTTGTTGATTAACCGGTGCTAATAAACAACCTTTAGAGATACTTCTAGAGTTTAATTAATTAACAACATTAAGAACTAGAAAGACCCAATTCTAAATAAATAAACTCAATCGCATGGTTCATTCATATTAGATTACATACTTTCTTAGTGTGAATATTAATTTACCACTAATTATCAGGATTATCTAAATAATTACGGATATCAGAATCCTGAATGATGATATACTA